TGGTTGTGGAGATCACAGGTTTGAGGCAAACAACTTACCGAGGCTCTAAGCAACTTAGTGAGACCCTGTCTCAAATAAAAAATAAAAAGGGCTGGGGATGTGGCTCAGTGGCTAATTGTCCCTGGGTTCAATCCCTGGTACTGAAGGGGGGAAAATGAGGTATGAATGTGAATATTTATAATAAGAAAATAAATTTAGATAATTTTAAAAGCTGACAGATACCACAAATTCAGAAAAATAACATTTTCTGAAAATGAACTGCCTGACACATTTCCATAATATTTTTTCCTGTATGTTTGTCAACATAGGCTTTAATTGCTTCTTCATATGACATCGATGGTGTACATTTATTACTGAGAGAGATTTTGTTTGACAAATGAGTACTGAATCATTCACTTACAGTTTTACATTGTCAAGTGATTAGAGGATTTTTTGCAAACCAACTGCTAAATCTATACATTTCAAACCTGTTTCTCCTCCATTGTTCAAAAGTTCCCAGCCCCAGGTGTGATAGGACATTCATATCATTATCCACCTCTGGTTCTGCACCTCTGTTTCATGACTCAGGGTGAACTGGCCCAGGAAGTGGTAGAGAGTATTCCTGGGAGCCATTCCTATAGCAGGACAGCTGGAAATCGTTTCATTATATATGGAGGTTACCCGAAATCACAAGAATATATGCCACGAATCCCAAACTGAACATGTCCCTAATTCACTTTTCTGGATTTCAAAATTGCCAAGACCATTGTAACACCATCCAATATCAAGTGCAGAGGGGTGGAGAGAAGGTCTGGTCACACCTCAGACCCCAGCTGGAGGAAGGGAGATGTTCCATTTAAAAAAAAGACTGGAAATTTAATCAGTGCACGGGGGCTGGGATTTTGAAAGCCAAAACAAGGAGAGCATCTATTTATTTATCCACAAAGTGCAGGAACCGGGAAGACATGATTCATCAAAGTGAGTTGGGAGGATATGGAGGATATGGGAAGAAAGAAGTTCCTTTCTCTTTGCATCTGTGGGATCTGGCTCATCCACAGAATTTGCCTCCATCTCTCTCAGGAGTACCAGCGCCATGAAATAGGCAACTTGTCAGCCTTCTTTACCAAGCTACCCACCATACAGTAGGTCCTCAATAAATCTTTTTCAAACAAGTGCCAGGCTCTTGAGTAACAAAGATGCATAAGCCCCAAAACCTTCCCTCAACAAACTGAGTCCAGTGGGTGCTGCAGACTGGAGAAGAAACGATTTCAACACAATGCATTAAGCATCTCCTATCCTCTGAGGGAAGGCTTCTTGGAGGACATTAGATGAGGTATGTGGGACAATCCAGAGTTTATGTGGGGCAGAGACACTGAGATGGGAGGACAAAGAGTGTAGAGAATGGTAAGAGGGATGTGATGGGAAATGAGGCCAGGGAGGTACGGCAGGTCCAGAAGGCTTACCTGTTGGTTGTGGGGAGCCATTGAAGGGTTTGGGCTAAAAATAGCATTACCAGGATCAATTGGACCAAGATAACTGATGGATCAGAGGCAAGGAGACCAGTCGGACACTCTTGACATGGTGCAGGGAGAGGTAATGTCATCCTGGCTGACCTTTGGGCTACAGGTGATGGAGAAGGAAAGGAGAAGTGATTTGGGGAAAAAAAATTAGCATGTCAAATCAGCAGGATTTGGTCATTAATTAGAGGGGAAAGAGATGGAGTGTGTGGTGGCTTCCAGATTTCAGGCTCAAGAAACTGAGGCAGTGATGACCCTCTGAGCTCAGGGCTAAGCTTATTAGAGAAAACCATTCATTTTTAGACTAGTTGTATACAATGTTTTATTTGGTCCTTTCTCTTTCTCGCCATACCACCTACCTCCTTTAAGTTTTTCTATGTTTTATTAATTCTCTATTGGGACATCTGAACAATTTTTGTAAATCCTAGCATTCCTGGAAGAAATCTCATTTGGTTGTGGTGTATAACTGCTGAATTTAGTTTGTTAATGCTTTGTTGAGAATTTTTGTATCAATATTCACAAAGGATATTGGTCTTTAGTTTTTGTATAGTGTCCTTGTCTAACTTTTGTATCAGGGTTATGCCAGTCCTATAGATCAATTAGAAAATATTCCCTCACCGGGTGCAGTGACTCCCAGCAACTCAGGAGCTGAAGGCAGGAGGATTTCGAGTTCAAAGCCAGCCTCAGCAGATTAATGAGGTACTTAGACTCAGCCAGATCCTGTCTCTAAATAAAATATTCAAAATGGCTGGGATATGGCTCAGTGGTTAAGTACCCCTGAGTTCAATTCCTGGTACCAAAAAAGAAAGAAAAAATATTCCCTCTTCAATATTTGGGAAGAGTTTGAAAAAGATTAGCGTTAGTTCTTTAAATGTTTGGTAGAGTTCCCAAATGACTTTATGTCACCTAGGGCTTTTATTTATGGGGAAGTTTTTGATAATTGACCCAAATCTCATTATAGGTCTGTTTAGATTTTCTATTTCTTTCTGTTTTAGTCTTGATAGGTTTTGTGTTTTTCAGAATACTTTCATTTTATTATTTAGGTTATTCAATTTTTAGCATATAGTGGTTGGTTCATAGTATATTCTTTTGTAATCCATTTACATTTCTGCTAAATCAATTATAATGTCCCACCACAAATAATATTTGTAGCAAACATCTCTGTGTCAGGAATGCTTTGTTGGAGCCTGGAGATCTATTTCTGAGTGAGACCCCATGACCACACAGATCTTACAATCCAGTGCATTTAAAATGTGATTTAGAGACCAAAGTTGTATAACACTCCATTTTCCAGAATTATGTTAACCATACATATAAATTTAAGATATTGATTCCCTAAGCACATTCAGTGAAAGCCCTTATGATTCAGTGTAACCAATCGTACGAGTTGTTTCTATTATGTATTTGTTACAGGTCTCCCATCTCCCAATGTTTCTGGTAAATCTTGGAGACAGAACCAACTTGCAGACTCAAACTCAGGCCTGAGGAGTTTGGCCTTATTTTCCTGTGTGTTGAGTTCTAATATCACATAGTAAAGGGCATGGAATGTTTTTTTTTAATATACGTATATACCTTTGTAGCCACTAGTAGATCAATATAAAATTTTTCCATCTTCTCACAAACAGCCTAATACATGTCTATGACATGGGAGCAGATTTGGACTATTAACATCATTCTGGCACCATGGAGAGTAAGGAAACAGGCTCTGAATTTTTATCTGGGTGCTTTGGCTGGAGGAGTAGTCCAGGAATTTTGCTGTAAGGAGTGGCTCTGATGTTCACGTATTCTGCAAAATTGGCCTTGAGGGCTGGGATTGTGGCTCAGCGGTAGAGTTGCTTGCCTAGCACGCTCGGGGCCCTGGGTTCGATCCTCAGTACCACATAAAAATAAGTGAATGAAATAAAGGTATGGGTCCAACTACAACTAAAAAAAATAAAATAAAATATTTTAAAAATTGGCCTTGAACACTCCAACAAATTTGAGTTGTGTTTACACACACACACACACACTCAATTTTATGGAGCATTCAAGTGCTGATTGCTAGAGCATCCAGAGATAAAGAAGCTGCAGATCATGCCCTTCTGGAATACAGCACGTGTGACTGTAGTCCAAAGACCTCCACCCCTACTGTGGTTTGAATGTGTACCCTCTAAAACTGATATTAGAAACATAATCCCCAGTGTGACAGAGTTGGGAGGTGTCTGGGAGCACCTTCCTGTGCTGTTTTAAAATGAGCCTGGGGGTTGAGTTTGCTCTTCGGCTATGTGAGCACATGACATTTCTTCCCTACAGAGGACCAGCATTCAAGTCACCATCTTGGAAGCAGAGAGATGGGACCCTTAATTGCCGACACCTTGATCTTCAGCTTCCCAACTTCCAGAGCAGTAGGAAATACATTTCTTTTCATCATAATTACCAGAGTCGGCTTGGGAGGATCAGACAGGAGGATTGTCAGTTCAAAGCCATACTCGGTAATTTATTGAGACCCTAAGTAAAATATACAAAAGGGATAGGGATGTGGCTGAGTGGTTAAGGGTCCCTAGGTTCAAACCCTGGTACAAAAAAACAAATTATCCAGTCTGATATTATATTAGATATTAAAATAGCTGCCCTATTCTTTTTTATCTTCCTTCTCAGAAAGTCCTACTTCCATCCTTTCCTTCCTTGCCATGGTGTCACTTTCTCTTACCTGAAGTTAGGTCAGGGCCAGGGTTCATCTTCACTCTGATCATCTTGTTCTACTCCTGTTGCCTCAAGCCATAGCCTTCAGAGCTGCCAATTTTCTTGTGTATCCAGGAAGTAGATCCAGAGAGATGGGATTGGAAGAATATGGGCTATTCAGGCTGGAGAGAGCACCATTAGAGATAGGGTTCATTACTGACCTTGAGGATATGGAAGGGATTTGTAAGAAGAAAGTGGGCCAGTTGCTCCAGTCGGTGAACAAGCAATAAGAGCGTCAGGCTTAGGTTAGGAATGGAAATACAGTGTTTGGAGACTGGGAAGAAAATCTTTGTCCGACGTATGGTCAAGACAGTGAATGTGGTCTCCATGCTGGACCTCTCGGAGGAGAACACAGACAAGCAGCACCTCGAAGGAGAGTTGAGTGGTTCCCCTGATGCCAGGCAATGGTCTCTAACTCAGCAGTTCCATGATTCTGTGATGTCACTGAAGAGAGAAGAAATGGAAGCTGGGCTTGGCTCCAGCTGCTCCAGTTCCTCTCCCCTCTGGATTCAGATAATTTTTGGGGTGAGGGGAGGTGAGCTGAGTGATCAACAGGTCCCAGCTCAGTCTCCCCTCTGTCCACCTCAGCCCCCACCACATTTATGGAGAGAAACTAGCCAGTGTGAGTCACACCACCAACACAAGCAGAGTGTCTTTTATGAAGCTCAGCTGATCAAAAGAACAACAATGAAAGCAGCCTTTTTTTTTCCCTTCTGTTTCTAGAAAACTTAAAGAACAAAAGAACTACATTCAAACTGAGCTGGAGAAGGCTTTGGGGAATCTATGGTTGTGAAAGTGGACATATCGTCTGGCAACCGTATTAGCTTTGAGGCCACAGCATTCACTTTCTTCATCATCCTTCTAATTTGCCTCATTTGCATCCTCCTTTTATTGGTGGTTTTTTTATATAAATGGTATAAATCCATGTTGATAAGTTGGGATCAGATTTCAAATCACACTAGCATATGTATCTAGAAATGATATAAAACAAAATAGAAGAAGTAATGCTGCAGTTATGTTTGTTTTCCTTTTAAGGGTTTTTAGAAATGCTAATTTCCTATTAAAGTGAAATTCCCAAGCCAGAATCAGGGTCATTTTTCCTTTTCTGAATTTTTTGCTTATTTGTTTTCAGTTTTCAAGGCAAGAGAGAAGAGACAGAAAAAATTCCTTGCTCAGATGCTAACGGAGGTGAAGAGTGTTCGCCTGCTAATGTGGAGAATAATACAGGAGGCCAAGAAAAGTCTGTACCTGAGGATGTGGTAGAAAGTCATTTTTGTAGATGATAATGTAGACTAGGGTGCATGGATTTTTAAAACCCTGCTGGTTGATTTTTCCAGGGTCATAATGGAAATCATGGGCATGAATGCACCAGTGAGGCACAGCATTCTTGTCCAGAGACGGAATAAGGAAGCGGTGGCCACATCCTTAGAAAACAGAGAGGACATGGAGGCACAGGAGGGAGACAAAATGAAAAAGAAGCAAGTGTCTGGGAATGCTGGAGAAACTGATCAAGAGGTGATGTACTTTTTCTACTCCTAAGGTTTAGCTTTAGTTTGAAGAGATGGAAAATTACTCAGGCAGGTATAATAACAAAGGATGGCATCTCTTGTAACTTTGGTTTGTACCTGGAATGAGTCCAGTGTCTAGTCATTTAAACCATTCTCCTAAACTCTCATTTCATATTAGTAAAACCAGTTGCATATGCCAAGCCTAGAAGTGCGCTCATTCTTCAGTCTCACCTCCCCCACCCAGGTACTAGTCATTTAAACCATTCTCCTAAACTCTCATTTCATATTAGTAAAACCAGTTGCATATGCCAAGCCTAGAAGTGCGCTCATTCTTCAGTCTCACCTCCCCCACCCAGGTACTGCGGACTGAACCCACAGGTGCTTTGCCACTGAGCTACATCTCTAGCTGTTTTTATTTTATTTTTTTTAAAGAGAGAGAGAATTTTTTAATATTTATTTTTTAGTTCTCAGCGGACACAACATCTTTGTATGTGGTGCTGAGGATCGAACCCGGGCCGCACGCATGCCAAGCGAGCGCGCTACCGCTTGAGCCACATCCCCAGCCCCGTTTTTATTTTATTTTGAGACAGGGTCTTGCTAAGTTGCCCAGGCTGATCTTGTGCTTGCAATCCTCCTACCTCAGTCTCCTGGGTATCTGGGATTATAATAAGCATGGGGCACTGTGCCCAGCTCATTCTTTATTCTTACATTTGTGTTTTTGTTCATAATTCCCTTTCATTTTCTTTTATTTTTAGGCTCCTAGGATTTTATAGCTATAAGAAATCTTGTAGGTCATCTAGGGATCCAAGGTTCTTGTGTTACAAATGAAAATATGAGACAAAGGGCAACCCCCATTGGGTCCTTTCTCACCCTGCAGGAGTTCTATCTCTTTTCTTCTCACTTGACTAAATCCTACTCTTTTACACTAAAAAAAAAAAAAAAAAAAGCAAAACAAAAACCCCACCACCACACAACAAAAAATGAACAAATTATTCACCTCCCCACTGTGGCCAAACCCAGGACCAGCTCCTGTGGCCCTGCTCTAATTCTGAGCTCTATCCCCAGCAGCATAGAGATTGCCAGACCTTTGATAAGCTCATATTCAGGACCCCAAATGACAATAGGCACATGCTTTCCCATCACATGACTGTGGCTTCTGGGTGTTTTATAGAGAGAGTAATACATGTTATCAAATAATTTTGTGTCAATGTAGATTTTTACAACCACAGAAATATAAAAATGTGATCATGATGGATTATTGTTGCTTTCTTTTTTATTAATCAATTTATTTATTTATTCTAATTAGTTGTGTATGACAGCAGAATGCATTTTGATTCATTGTACACAATTGCAGCACAACTTTTCATTTTTCTGGTTGTACACAATACAGTGTCACACATGTACCTAGGGTAATGATGTCCATCTCATTCCACCATCTTTTTTTTTAAATAATTTTTAAAAAATATTTATTTTTTATCTATAGTTGGACATAATATCTTTATTTTATTGATCTATTTGGTATGTGGTGCTGAGGATTGAACCCAGGGACCCGCACGTGCGAGGAGAGCACTCTACGGCTGAGCCACAATCCCAGCCTCCATCGGTTTGTTTGTTTTTTTTTTAATACCTTGATCTTACTTACTTATTTATTTATTGTGTGGTGCTGAGGATCAAACCCAGGACCTCGCCTGTGCTAGGCAAGCACTCTACCACTGAGCCATAACCCCAGCCCCCATCTTTTTTTTAATATTTATTTTTTAGTTGTAGTTGAACACAATACCTTTATTTATTTATTTGATATGTGGTGCTGAAGATCGAACCCAGGGTCCCGCACGTGTGAGGTGAGCACTCTACAGCTGAGCCACAACCCCAGCCCCTCATTCTACCATCTTTCCTGCCCTCATTCCCCTCCCCTTTGCCCAAAATTCCTCCATTTTTTCCATGTCCCCCCATTATGGATCAGCATCCACTTATACACATTCACTCAACAAATATATGAAAAAATGTTCAACATCTCTAGTAATTAGAGAAATGCAAATCAAAACTACTCTAAGATTTCATCTCATGCCAGTCAGAATGTCAGTTATCAAGAATACAGACAACAATGAGTATTGGCGAGGATGTGGGGGGAAAGGTACACTCATACATTGCTGGTGGGACTGTAAATTGGTGTAACCAATCTGGAAAGCAGTGTGGAGATTCCTAAGAAAACTTGGAATGGAACCACCATTTGACCCTCTCCTCAGTCTATACCCAAAGGACTTTAAAACAGCATATTACAGTGATGCAGCCACATCAATGTTTATAGCAGTTCAATTCACAATAGCTAAACTGTGGAAGCAATCTAGATGCCCTTCAATAGATGAATGGATAAATAAACTGTGATATATATACACAATGGAATATTATTCAATACTGTTGCTTTCTTACATCATTTAGAAATACCTTTTCTGTGTCTCATTCACAATGTACATAGAACCTATATTTTTAAAAGCAGGACTTGTCATGTTCATAAATTGATCACTTATACTACTTGTGCCATTTCTCTGTAGGGTGAAAAGTTGAAGATAACACACCTACCTCTCAATAGAGTTTCTTCAGATGTTGAAAACTCAAAAAGACCTTTAAAAGGAGTGACATTTTCTAGGGAAGTAATTGTCGTGGATCTTGGTAATGAATACTCTGCACCTCGAAGTTACACTCGAGAACATAAAGAGAGAAAATGAAGCTCAAAAAAAGCTGAGAATGAAAAAAATATAATCTTTGACTAACATTGAAATGACTGAGTGTACCAAGTCATGTTGAAACAACAAAATAATGGGAATTAAGCAAATACAGATATTATTTTACCTTTGTGTAGAAAGAAGTGTGAGCCACATACAGAATTCTGTAAGTAAAATCCTTAGGCTTGAATATAATTTTCCAAAGACTCAACTCTGCGTTCAATAAACAAATTGTATTAAGCATTCTTAAAACTGTGCCTACTCAAACACTGTCCTAACATGTGAATAAAGTTTTTTATGTTTGTGCAGATGTCTGTTAGGTAAATCATATTGAAGGAGTACTTTTTTTTTTCCTACCAGGATTAAACCCAGGGGTGTTTAAGCTCTGAACCACATCCCTGCCCTTTTTTATTTTTTTATATTGAGAACAGGGTCTTGCTAAGTTGCTTAGGGCCTTGCTAAGTTGCTGAGGCTGGTGTTGAACTTGCTGTCCTCCTGCCTCAATGCCTGAGCCGCTGGTATTACAGGTGTTTGCCACCGCACTGGGCTGAAGGAACACTTTTAAGGAAATACCTGTTCTAGTATTCCTATGATCCCAGGTATTCATGACCAAGTAACATTGCAGATGTTGTTATGGAAGCTTCCAAAAACGAGGGTAGGTTCTCTTTTTTTAAATATTTATTTCTTAGTTGTACACAATACCTTTATTTTGTTTATTTATTTTTATGTGGTGCTGGGGATCGAACCCAGGGCCTCACATGTGCTAGGAGAGCACTCTACCATTGAGCCACAACCCCAGCCCCAAGGGTAGGTTCTTTTACTGTGTAATACCTATTGAATTCATTCCTGAAACCTTTCTTGTATTAACAGCTGCTTTTTAAGATTGGTCCAAAAAACAAATTACTATCAACAACAAAACATCCTATTATTTCAAAGAAGTCCTGAGATGATACTATTCTTGATTTCAGTAGTTTAAAATGTATTGTCCATATGTGGAATATGATAGTTCAGACCTGTATGACATCATTCAATCCACTGCAGTAAACATTTGTGTTTGTGAAATATATAAGGGGCTATGAGATAAATAAAAAGCAGGAAAGTTAGCCCTTGATTTAGGGCATAGCATATTGTCATATATATGGCATATGACCAATAAATGTTTGTTGAATGATTTGGAGCACATGTGATAAAATAATTTAGAATGTGTGACTAATGCCAGATTGGTCTTCCTTAAATGGGAAGAAGTCCCTGTGGATGGGACTATTCCTCTGAGAGGAGGAGGAGGAGTGACCTAATCAAATGGGAGGATTAGCTTATCAAAGCAAATGTAAACCAAGACAGAGAGATGAAGGTGTATGTGGAGTTTGGTGGTGGACACCAATAGCCAGAGCTGAAGGTTAGTGTCAAGAAGAGTTGAGAGTAACAGTGAGGACTAGTGAGAAACAGGAAGGTTCCTGTTAGGATTCCAGGGTTGGTTCAGGTATGGGGGAGAATGGATTAAAGCAATCTGGATTGTGGGTGAGGAGGATCTCCAGAAATATTCTGGGTTGCTGAGTCCTCGGCAAGGATTTTAAAATTTTTTTACCTGATGATAATAAAATTATTATTATGGTTAAATGTACATATAATTTGCCATCTTAAGCATTTTAAGTGTACAGTTCAGTAGCAATAGATATATTCACATTGTGCAACCATCATTACTATCCATCCACAGATCTCTTTTCGTCTTGCAGAAGTGGAACTCTGAGCCCTGACACTAACCCCCTGGCAGCCAGGACGCTGCTTTGTCTCTCAGAATTTGACTACTTTAGGTGCCTCGTATAAGTAAAGTCAGATATACGTGTCCTTTTGGTTCTGGCTTATTTCACTCATCACAATGTCATCAAGATTCATTCATGTTATCAGAATTTTCTTCCCTTTTAAGCCTGAATAATATTCCACTTGTACGTCTTTCATATTTTATTTATCCCTTCACAAATGAATATTTGCAATTTTAATCTAAGAAAGTTCAGATTTACCCAGGTAACTATTTTAAGCTGTGTGTTTCATGGTTTCATTGCCCATATGTGCCTCTGTATTTAGGAAACCAAGTTACTTTGTCCTAAGCTGATAACAGAGGAAGAAGAATTAATACCCAAATGGTGTGCCTATGTGAAGGGTTAGCCAATTCCCTGGTGCTGACTGTACTAACCAAGGTATCGTGAAAGTTCCAGTTGAGGCAAATGGTGAGAAAAGTGGCCATCAGTTCCTGTAGTAGCATAGGCACAGAGAATTCCAGAAAACCACTGAGATTATAGTGTGGTCCGCGGAACAGCATCTGACATTAAATGTTCATTGAATTTTATTGGTTTTGAGCTGTTGTTTTCATTTGATTTGTAAACTTGTTTTGCATCAAATGAAAGCTTCAAGAGCCAATGGCCAGTTTTGTGTTTCTACATGGTTTTATGTAACACAGTGATAAATTGAAGGCAATAATGGTTGGCGGGGGTATTGCTCGAGAACTTTCCTCTAGAATTAGGTTATTGAAGAGGAGCATGTAGGAGGTAAGTGGAGATGACTATAATGACAATGCAAATCTGAAGGATTTGGATCTGGAATCTAGTGGACAGAGTGCAGTGAGAATTTGAAGAATTCTTGGTTTAATGTGGAAAAAAAACAGAGGAGGACACAAAGGCAGCTCCTGAGCTTGGATACTTCTCAGAGATGGGAAAGTCCAGATGCTGTGTCCTTTTAGCACCCAGTCTTGGAGGACTCCTTGTATAATTTCCTCACATTCTGTTGGTTAGAAGAAAACCACCAGGTTTAGTCTGCATTCAAGGGCAAGAAATTTTCATTTCTGTAGCTGTCCTTGTAAAAGACCATGAGCTCACATCAACACATCCAATTTCAGTCCAGTAGGATTTATTGTAGCTTCACCTCCTTTGTTTCTGTAACTGTGTTCCTCAGCATTGAGAAATCTGGCTTCTGTTATGTTCTACTTATTTGCTTATTTAGTTGCCTGAATGTTAAGAAAGGCTTTTAAAAAAGCCACAAAAGGATGATTTTCTTATTTTATGAAGAAATGCTTCAAAACATTCAGATGCATAAGGATTTTTTTTCCTTCAAGCATTACCTGCTTTTAAAATGGACAAAGTGAAAAATTGTGCTCTATATGTGTAATAAGAATTGTAATGCATTCCACTGTCATGCATAAATAAAAAAATTAATAAAAATAAAATGGGCAAAGGTATAGGGAGAAAAACAAATGGCCAAGACACCTGGAGCTGGGCTTGTAACTCCATGGTAGAGCACTTGGCTAGCAGGTGCAAGGCCCTGGTTTCAATACCCAGCACTGAAAAAAAAAGAGAGAGAAAACTTTAAATGCTCATTCTGATTTATTAATTAAAGCTAAATTAAAACATGATTTTTTTATCTATCAAACTGTCAAATATCAGAAAGATGGATGATACTGGTAAAGGGAGAAAAATGGGGAAAGGCATTCTTATGAGATATATCTCAGTATAATTTGGTAAAGGATAATTGGGGCATTTATCAAAATTAAAAGTGAATGAATGCAGGGTCTAGGGTTGTGGCTCAGTGGCAGAGTGCTTGCCTAGCACATGTGAAGCACTGAGTTCGATCCTCAGTACCACATAAAAATAACAAAGATATTGAGTCCATGCATAACTAAAAAAATATTTTTTAAAAAAGCCTATGCACCTTTGGACCCAGAGTCCCTCTGCCTGGAATGACCCTATGATATACTTGCAAACCTATACTGATGTCTAAACCTGCTTACTTCCACCAGAGCAAGGCTCAGGGAAAAAGAGAGGGAGCGTGCAAGCATGAGTATGTTTTAGTGCTAGCAAGAAGACATCCGTCACTGGGTGTGGTGGCACATGCCTAGAATCGGGAGACTGAGGCAGGGGGATTGCGAGTTCAAAGCTAGCCTCAGCAATTTATCGAGGCCCTAAGCAATTTAGTGAGACCCTGTTTCAAAATAAAAAGGGCTAGGGATGTGGCTCAATGGTTGAGTATTCCTGGGTTCAATCTCCAGTATCAAAAAAAAAAAAAAAAAAGACAGTAGTCTTTTGGTAACTTTGATAACTAAACATTCCATCGCTGTTGCTTTATTCTATTCATTGGAAGCAAGTTGGGAGGTCCAGCCCACACTCAAGGGGAGGGAATTATGCAGGGACATGAATACTAGGAGACAGGGAAAGGTGAGTGTCATCTAAGAGGCTGCCTTCCACAGAGACTTGGGAGGGTGCTGCCCCATGTAACTGGGGAAAGCAAACATAAATCCTCTCTGGGTGTACTTCAGCAAAAGTTAAGAACCATCATCAGGTACTGCCTGTTGAAGATACTCTCTGATTTCAGAGCTATTAAAGTGTATGTGCTATTAAAAAGGAACTTAATAAGCTTTAATTTTAACTTTATACCCTTTCTATTGTATGTTAAACAAAATAAATAAAGTATCTGTGCTATATGGTCCTGACAGAGGGAAGAGTGACTCTCTGGGATATCAGCAAGGTTTTGAAGAAGAAAAATTTGAGCAAAGCCTGGGTGACGGAGGCAAGGGTAAACAGGGCTCACCAGGCAGAGGGTCCTGGATGTGGGAGGGCACAGGTGCACTGGAGAGCTCCAGAGCTGTCTTCTCAGCATGGTGCCAGCAATGGAACAGCTCTAGATGTGGGGCAGGGAAGGCAGGCTGGGCCAGACCTGGAGTGAGCCTTGCTAAGGGGTGGATGGGACATGTCATTGAAGAATGTAAAAGTACAGCAATTAGGAAGAACTGTAGGGAAAAGAGACTATCAGGGACAGAGGACCATTAGGAAGACCTTACAAAGATACAAGCAACAAAAGGTGATAACCAGAAGCAAAATAAGTTGGGGTGAGACAAAGAAGAATGACTTGAGGAATACGTAGGAGACTAAACAGGAGGTCCAGTCAGCTGGGAGGGATGAGCAAGTGGGCTCAGAGCCCAGCTGGGTGTGAGCCCAGCCTGCTGCATGGATGGTGCT